TGGTCATTCGAGGAACTGCAGACCATGGAATTAAACTTTTTAATTGTGACTTAAGTTGAAAGATAGTCATGTATAGGTAACTGTTAAAAACTTGATCATCAATTAAAAAACAAGATTTGTTCCCAAAAAGTTGGCATTGGAAGTAAAAGGTTTTCTACAATGTAAAATGTAACCCAGATCCATTAGATTTTGCAGCCTCACGTCCCTCATATCTTTTCCTCAGCTGCTTAGAATGATTGTCAGCGGTAGCTGCATGTGATGCTCTACAAGTTCAACGTGTTCCAGCTTGCCTCAGTTCCTGTAGGTCCTGTCCAATCGCCCCAGAGTTCACCCAGCGGTGCCGGTAGTGAGTGAGATGCCTGGTGTTGGATGCCGCGGTGTGTACATGCGTGCCAGAGCCTGTGCAAAGCCTGCTTTTAGATGGCTGTTTCGGGCCAAAAAGCCTGGAAGGTAAACATATCTGCACTCTGCTGAGTTTGTGTTTCTAGAATACAGTCCCACTAGGCCTTGTAATGGATTATGGACTGCAGTAAATCTACACAGTGCCTTTCATCAACTTCTTAACTGGCACATGACCTACAGTATTTCTCACCTCAGAGCTGCCTTGGGAGGTGAATTGAGAGACGACCTACTTTTTAAGGGATCTTCACATTCTGAAATTTAAAGACGTAGCTCGTTTTTTGGGGGGGTTGAATGTTGTTCCCTCTTGTGCAGTGTCAGGTGGGTGCTTCCTTTTTCCTTTTTATTTTTCCTTCACGCTTGTGTGCACATTTAGAGTATGATTGGTTGTCTTAGCTTCGTGGATGTCCATTGAATCAAATTGCATTTCACCTCAGATAGATGTATAAGCAGTTTTTTTTAGGAGGATTTCTTTTAAAAAAAAATACCCCATTTAAACTTCAGCAAATACTCTTTTGCCGTTTTTTAAGTGCATATGGCCTACCTGTGGGCAGATTTTGCACCATCAGGACTGTTTCCAAGGCTCCATTTGTATCTACTGAAATATGATGGCGAGTGAATGCGCTCGGATCTTTCCTTTTTCAGCCTTTCCATTCTCCATGACATGGCCAAGTCTGCCATTTGCTCAGTTGACCAGAATCTGGACAATCAGACATGACACTTCTGGCCTCCGTGCCATCTGGGAATTCGACATGGATCAGATATAGAAAGAAAGCCTCTCCGGCTATTGTGTGAGGATTAATTCAAGCAGTAGACTGGACAGTAGGCCTGCTGCTGTGTTGATACTGCTGATCCCCAGCCCACTGCTGTGGAGCGGCTTGTACTGCAGAGGCCTAGTGCCCCCTAAAAGTGGGGTCCTGACCCTCTGTGTTTGTGTGTGCGTGTACATTCAAGAGGGAGATCGCCGTTGTACATTGTGCATTCATGTGTGTGTGTGTCTATGTGCGCCCGGACTTTGTGTTTGAGCGAACATCTCAGGTTTCCTCACAAGAGAGGGGATGATGGTATTGCACTTGGATACTGTGGGGATTATGTAAGGCAGCAAAACAAAAGACACCCCAGCCGCCAATATTTCTGAGTGCGTTGTGTGTTTATCTGCGCCACTTGTGCATGCACGCACACCTGATTTCAGTTGACTTTTGCCTCGTTTTTTGCAAAGAAACTCGGTCTTCAAAGAAAAGTCTGAGAGAGCACAGTGGAGCTTCGTAGGGGGAGCCGAAAGTCCAACAACACCAGATCTATCTGATGGCAAAAGGCGCCAGCACCTTGTTATTGCTTCGTTTGGAATTTCCTTTCTCCTGTTCTTTCTTAGGCCTTTTGTGATCATATTCTACAACCGGATGTCAAATTTACCTCTTGCAGGGTGCAGAGAATGCCTCTTCAGTCCGCCACCACTAAAACACACATTCCCAGCCCTGCAAATCTCTTTCCACAAGTCTGCACGTTACAGCTTGGCCTGCATAACTGTGAACTATTCACTTCATGGCTGACTATTTGACCTTCTCTGCTCCCTTTGCTTATTTCCCTTCTTTTGTTCAGGTGTCAAGTGAAGGTAAAATACATGATTTTCTGCAAAGAGTCAGCAAAACGACACGCTGATCTGTTTCGTATATTTTTAGTTTTCAACTGTTATTCGCCGCAGCTAGACTGAGCTAGGATGCAAGATATTGCACCAAGCAACTTTTTTTTTAACCTAAAATCAGTTAGTTTAGATAGACACTCCTCTTCCACTCCCTTCCTGTCAACCCTCATCCCCAAAGTATGCTCTGCTGTCAGAAACAACAAGACGGGCTGGACCTGATGGCCTCTCGTTATATTTGCTCCATCTGTCAGAAGGTTTTTGTTTTTAGGTTGATGTTTGAGAAGACTCGAAAGAGAGAAGAGATGGTTAAAGTAAATCAAAATCGCTCGGAGGGATTACAAAGACTTATAAATGGAAAGAAAGTGAAATCCATCCAGCTTCTTGATGAATCATCGATGGAGTTAGCCCCTGTTCTTCCTGTTTTAACACAAGTGACATTCAGGAAACGGTGAGCTGCTCAGTTATTGTGAACTTTTGTTGTAAGAGGGCTTGAACAGCATTGGTGAAGAGAGTCCTAACCATATTAGAGGGATGGTTCTGTGGATATTGGTGTAGGAAATGTGATCAAGAAGATGGGAGACTCCCCTTCGAAGTACTTATGCAGCGATGCCCTGCTCCCAGTGCTTTTGCCACAAGTAGAAGGCTCTCTGGAGATCCTGTTTATCACAACACCATCTGTAACATGTGATAGATCTTGACTGCTGTGTCAGAAGGGCATCCATCCATCCATCCATCCATCCATCCATCCATTATCTATACACCACTTAAGCCTCACTAGGGTCGCGGGGTGGCTGGAGCCTATCCCAGTCGACTCAGGGTGAAGGCAGAGAAAAGGGCATCCGTTTAACGTTTAAAATTTAATTTTGGGGAAGATGTAGAAGTCAGAAAGAGCCGATGGTGTTGGTGTGGTCAAAAAAGCATTTTCTCAATGTACTGAGTGGGCACCCATTTGCACAATCCCCACAGATTAGGTTATTTATGGCAAATGTTCTCCCTCTGGCACCTCAAGACGTTACAGGAGAACTTAAGTTTAAGTCTTGCAGTGCACAACCCTATAAAAGAAAACAATGAGCATCCTCTTTCCTGCCGTTTAAGTGCACCTTTTAAGTGTAATCTTCCACTGTTTGGTCTCCGGGTCATAGGTGTAGACTCAACTCTTGCCATTAGTGATGAGTGGTAATGAAGGACGGGCCACTGAATTTGATGTTTGCTCTCTGTGCAAATTTTTAGTCCACGGTGAAATCGCAAATTTGCACCTGCACGTACTCTGAAATGGACTTTGGGAAAGTGTTCCAGATGCAGCAGAAGCACCGGGATCAGTGTGTCCTGGCACAAAGAGACCACTTTGTAGGGGATAACGGGGCAAACTTACAGCGGGTTTCTACTTTTGCTACCCGCTGTCGTGGAAAGTCTTGATCACGGCTCGTATCTGCCATTAAATAGTCGCTGCAGAATAACGTTCCTCATACAAATATTCGATTAATTGCTAAAACACTCCCCAGAAGATGAGTCCGATTGAATTTGGCGGTCTGAACTTTTTCGGTATCTTGGCTTGGTAAGAGACAATGAATCCCCCTGACTTTGTTCAGCTTCTGTACTGCGTTGTTGCCGTCATGACGTTGACGTGTTGCTGAAATGCTCGACGGCTTGATTAGAGTTGCATTTTCAAAATAGCGACACACAGATGTTTCTATTACATCAGATGACTTCTAACTCGGGTCAAAATCATCGAGTAAAAGTTGCAGCTAAAAGTGGAAAAACTTTAAACGTCTGATCAACTTTTGTGTTCATTAATCAACACTTTTAACATCTGCTCATGAAATTGAATCACATTGTTAGGGAAAAAGCCACCATGGAAACCTGACTGTGACTCAAGTTCAGCAGTGGCCAACATTTCTCAGCCCACAAGCTTGTTAACGGAGCTGCATGTGGTTCCTTCGCTCTATGAGAAAGGAAAGGATTCTGGTGACTCACTGATTGTGCTGATACATTTCAGAGCATTTTTGCAGTGGTTTGGACACTTCTTTCTTTTCCCCCCACGGCTTTATCTTTAGCGAAAACGTCAAACGCGACAACGAGGACGTAACGAAATAAACAATCGGGGGAGTTAAAATTAGCAAAGCCAGTAATATTCACAGATGTGTGAAATGTGCTTTGAGTCGTGCCAAAATGCAGAGCGGCTGCCAGATGAGAGGAGACTTGTGCTCTTGGCTCGGTTTTATAACCGAGAGGCCCCAGGTGAGCTCAATGAGCTGACTACCTTCCTCATTTTAATTAGAACCAATCACCAAACTCAGTGGGAGGTTCACCAGCAAAACACAAAAAAAGTTTTACAGTCTATTCCTCCTTCCGTTTTTCTCTATTCCCTCAACCCTCTTTCCACCAGCGAAAAATAATGAGTAATTTGATACACAAAACCCCCCAAAATAGATTCAGCACCACTTTTTTTTTATTTTATGACTAAAATGGTTGGATAATTACTTTCTCAAAGGCACTAAAACAGTATACATTAATGTAATAGAGGTATTTCTGAAGCATCTTTCCTTTCCCATCAGAAAAGGAGCCGTAGGTTTCCTGCAGGGTCAGCTTCACCCCTGCAGCTGGTAGAAGTCCATCAATCCATTTCCAAAAACCTCTTTAGCAGACCAGACCGCTAACTCTGAAAAATGATCGGCCCATTATGGAGTGTATTTCACGCCGCTTCGAGCTTCTAAAAAGCCCGGCTCGTTCGCAAAAGTGACAGCAGGAGGGCCGTCCTGATGAAGCACAGGTTAAATGCTGTCAGCTACCGATATGTCAGTCCTAGAGTCCGATCCTGGTTGTGTTCAATATAGAGTTTATCCTCTTTTCCTGTTAAATTACAGATACAGTCTTTTTTATTATTATTATTAACTATGAGAACAAATAAACTCAGATTAGTTATTGTAACGCTTGTCACGTCATATTTCTTTGTCTCCAGGTGAGACCGTGGAGCTCCAGCCCGAGCAGGGCGTCAGCGAGATCACGGCCGTTCGGAAGCCCAGCAAAGAGACGACCTGGCTGGGACCCAAGGAGAGCGCCGTACGCCAGCACAGACAGGAGATGAAGACCAAGATGAAGACCAACAAGGTGGAGGAGGTGAAACCCACTCGGCCTAAGCAGGTAAGTCAAGCGCTGATCCTGAAATGTCAGGAAAAGCATTAGCATTAGTGATTGAGTTTAGTGTTCTGTTTAATTGAAGTGAGTGCGATCATGACAAATGTATCTTCACATTTTACATAAAGTGTGTCGTGTTTTCTTCATCTGTACACAATATATTCACAAATGGCTTGAGAAGAACATCCTGCTGCAACATCTTAATGCAATTTTGTGATTTATAACCAATTTCTTAGTATTTAAATCATGATTTAAAAAAAAAAAACTCAACCGGTTACCACAACTTAGCCAATAATTCTAATTTCTCTTTCACAGTTTTGAATATTTAACCTAAACTACAGCTGTTGGAAGTGTCAGTCTGAGACAAACACGCTTTTTAATTTGAATCTCTGTGAGCAAAAAAAAACATTATCTATACATCAATGTTCTTCTTGATCTGTCAAAGGTTAAATTTGATTGCTTTTAGAAGTTTTATGACAGAACAGTCTTGAACATGTTGGGTAACATCTGTCTGATACTTGCTTGACAGTCAGCGCTGATGCTAATCCCCCAATATGGGAACATCACGTCTGAAAATCTTGCACCCCAAACGAGAGAGGGACCATGTGGTGACCGGAGGTGTTTAACTTATTATTTAATTATGAGTAAAGACGAGTAGAGTGTACAATTGGTGACAAAAATGTGTAAAATGAGGCACGTTTTCTGCCCAGTGTGGAGAACCGACCTGTAAGACGAGGGAGGAATGCGAAAACAAGCGCAGTGCCGCCTCCCTCTGGTGCAGCAGCTGCACATTTTTGCATTTAAAAGTGTGTTATCTTTGAAGGCAGTACGGCTAGCGCGCTTATAAATAATGTTAGGATTTCGCAAAGGCTGTATTTTCAGAGGGCCGGCCAAATAAATTTCCCACCGGCCACCGTGCTTTAATCTAAAGACAGACATTCGCTGACCCTTCATCCACCTGACCAGCTCCGTCTCCCACAGCCGGGAGTCACGGGTGAACACCGACAATTTCTAGCCATTGCGGTATTTTCCATCCGCCGTAAAAAAAAAAAAAAATCATTTAAAGGTTATTGCTCTACCAGAAACTTTATAACTGTCTCAACAAGATGTTTGGCTCTGCTGGATTGTGAGGTAAACCTGAGGTCACTGGTGAGTTATTATTCATTACTGGAAAGAATCATGATTCATTTGCTCATAACAGAAAGCCCTTTAGCTTTATTGTGTGTGTGAGTGTGTGTGTGTGCATTTTATATGAGATTTTATAGTGAGTCAAAAATGTGCTGATTGCTATGCAAACACGACTTGGTGTTGATGTGTCTTGGACTAGTTTCCTGTTGTGGGGATTTCAAAAAAAAAAAAAGGATTTCAGATTTTATTAAGAAGCAAGCTGCATAAAAGATCAGATTTCTGATTTAGAAAACAACTGGGAAAAACTCTAAAGTTCACAGAACAGTTTGTACGAAACGTTTCTTGCTGGAGGCCAGCAGCGTGTTTTTTTTTTTTTTTATGCATCTGGCATCGAAACCCGGTGGCTCCAACACGCCCATGTGCCACCATAGGGGCCCTGTGAACATTGTTGTTCTGTTTTGCTGTTTTCTTTCGAAGACTCAGTGTCAGCAGGAGCTCGACCAGGTCCTGGAGCGGATATCCAAGATGCCCTTCAGAGATAACCGAGGTCCCCTGGAAGACCTGTACGCCCTGCATATCCCCAACTGCGACAAGAGGGGGCAGTATAACCTCAAACAGGTGACTCCGGGGGGAAAGAGGGTGTAGCCACCTCGTAGTATGCAGGTATAAGGAGCTTAAGAGAGTGTGTTTTCAACTGTAAGGTGCTTGATAATAGAAGAAAAATAATTTGTGCATGAATAATTTGTTCTGAAAAATAAAAATAAAAAGATATAGGAGCCCCACAGATGTGTATATTTGAGGTCTAATAGTGTGAAATGTGTAGAAAAAGCTCCAACCGATGCTCCGTGTTTGCAGTGCAAGATGTCTCTCCACGGTCAGAGGGGCGAGTGCTGGTGCGTGGACCCCCACACCGGCCGGCCCATCCCGTCGGCCCCGACCGTGAGGGGCGACCCCAACTGCAGCCAGTACCTCAGGGAGCTGGAGCTGGAGCTTCCCGACATGGCGCAGATCTAGTGTTGGCACGAAAACAAACAACAACAACAAAAAAAAAACTGTAAAGTACTTGTGAACAAAGAACATCTGAGTAAGCTATATATTATCTTTCTGTGTGTATGTGTCTCCAGCTCATTTGATGACACTGACATTTGAAATCTTAACCGACAAAAAAAAGAAAAAAAATAGGATTAAATGATAGAATCCAGCTTGCTGCATAAGATGTAACTGCAGATTACTTGTAGGCGGAGCAGTAAAGATAAGACTCCGTAGATACTCAGTAGCTGCCAGCTGGAGTGTCAGTAACTACGCTTTACTAATTGTGATTTTTTTTGCTTTGTTGTCAGTGTTTTGTACTGTATGTGTTCAGGGGAGGGGGGAGAAAAAAAAAAAAAAAGAAAAGCCTTCAATGTATTGGATGTTTTTCATGCTCTAGCTTCCAGACTACTGTTCATGCTATGCTCTAGGCTTCCAGTGCTTATTGGCTTTTAAGGATGAAACGTAGTACATGTAGCGTGCATTAAGTGTTCAGCAGGAGGACGTGACTTTAATTAACTGACAATGCCATTAAAATGACAAATACGTTCAATGTGTGCTATGTGTTGCTTTCGTTCGAATTGGATTTGAACATCTTGGGAAATGAGTGAGGAAAAAAAAAAAAGCTTTTTAGGGGAATCAGGGAGGGAGATTTGTGAATATGCATTTCAAAATAATTTATTGTGCATTTGTTGCGGAAAGAGAATGAAATGTGGAAGAGTTGAATCCACACATATACAGGTATACTCATGCACTATAAATGAGCATTCTGTCAGTTTACTGTCATATATCGTAGTGAAAACATGATTAGAAAATAAAATATAAAGGAAAGAAATACAAGAGTTTCACTGTCAGATATTTAGCGCCTGACACAGATTTTATTTTCAGATTCCTCACATTCACCAACTAAAGTTTTAGTACTGCAGTAGAATATTGTACAAATATCTGACTGATCAACACCACCATCAGCTATACAAAGTGAAATCTCTCCCATTCAGCTATTATTATCACTGCCTTTGTCATTGTGACGTCGCAACATGTTGGGAACAAGAACCAGCACTCGTCGTGCCGCGGAGCAACTTTGCATCGTGTCAAATGAGTTCTCCGAGCGACTTTCCCACCTTTGACGGTCAGCTGACCGTGCTCCTCCCTGCACACCTGCCCAGCTTTACCCCACTGGGTCAGGATATTTGCATGCACGTGCAGGCTGAGTCTACGAGCACCTTGTTTTTCCCTCCTATGGTGTCAATAAAATGAAATAAAGTCTTCATCCGTATGGAAACTCGAAAACTCTCAACAATATAATCAATCTCAAGCCTGACAGTAACCCAGTATTCCCAGTTTAAGTGCCAATAATAGCATATCAGGGAAGACACAGGATCATATGTGTAGGCTGATTCTAAAGCATTTATTCCTCTGCAAAGGGGAAGAATAATTACCTGTCAACATGGAAGACAAAGGAGACAGGTGAGTAGAAGAAGGTCGGACGCTGTCGAACTTGCATTTATTTGCAATGTTTGGATGGCAGAAAGGTTGAGCACTGAAACATCACGACTCCATGTATTTTTGATTATTAAAAATGTGTTTTTAATGGTACCCAAATCTTGGTTGCTTGAAGGCAGAGACACAAACTAGGAGGCCTTAGTGGAGAACCTTTAGGTCAGGGATCTCCAACTCCGGTCCTCGTGAGCTACTGTCCTGCAGGTTTTAGACGTTTCCGTACTGCAACACATCTGACTCAAATTAATGGATCTCCAACAGCTTGTTGTCAAGTTCTACACGAGTCTGTGAATGAGGCAGTCACGGAAACCTTTTATTCATTAAAGTTGTTAGTTTTTTTTAGGGGGGTCCTCCACACTGGGGGCTGTGTCCGGTCTGCTACTGGGGTTTCTGTCTGTGGGTCCCTTCTGCTGGCTGATTGGGGGGGTCCCCACCTCGTTGTGGGGATCCCCCTGTCTGCCAGGGTCGGGGGTCCGGGTGCCAGCGCCCCCAGTGGTCATGGTCTGCGACTCCTCCCGGTGTGGACGGCCCTAATGGTGGCATTTTCCCACAATCCTCAGTGCCATGCCATGGTTCCCTAAGCTCAGTGGTGAGAGAGAGAGAGAGTATGAGAAGGGCTATACAAATAAAATTTGATTTGAAACGTCTAAAACCTGCAGGACAGTCTCTCATGAGGACCAGAGTTGGAGATCCCTGCTTCAGGTAGTGCATGTTGATGGGATAGCACTGTTGCCTCGCAGCAAGAAGGTTGTCGGTTCCAGTGAGGACACCTGGGATCTTTCTGCGTGGAGTCTCCATGTTCTCCCCATGCAGCGCAGGTTCTCTCCGGGTTCTCCGGCTTCCTCCCACACAGTCCAAAAACATGTTGAGGTTAATTGGTGATTCTAAATTGTCCGTAGGTGTGAATGTGAGTGTGCTTGTCTCTAAGTGTAGCCCTGTGATAGACTGGTGACCTGGGATAGACTCCAGCCCCCCGTGACCCTAATGAGGATTAATCGGTGTATAGATGATGGATGGATGGATGTTGATGGGATGCGAAGGCAACATGGACAAAAAAAAGTGAAGCCTTCCAATGTGGTTATCTTATTCCTGGACCTATAAATGTTAATACCTCCTGTATCAGTTTTAAGCCGTGTTGCATTTGCAGCTCCCCCAAGAGGCAAAAATCAATCAATGCAGGTATAAAGAATGAACAAGTTGTGATATCCATAATTTATCCCGAGCCCCATTCTGCCCTCTATGGGTGGCAGCAGCGACACCGATGGAAACCACCCGCATGCAGAATCGCATGAGGCAGCAGTCGCAAAAACACACAACAACTGACTCGACATCCAGAACGAACAACAAAAAAAAGTGCAGGCAGGCAGTTTTTTTTTTTTTTTTTGTGAGTACAGGAACTTTATTTAAATATTAATTTGCCTTTACAAATGACGAGTACATCAATCACACGCCTGATAAATATTTCACCATAATGTTCACATTAATCTTGAAAAGTTGAGATTTCAGAAAAGTGTCACCGTGTTTTGTGTGTGTGTGTGCTTGAATCATCAACAGCATGAGAGAGGTGCGTTCTTGGGAAAATGCCGGCGTCAGCGTTCTCCGACCGTCGCGGTAACTCGAGGAGCGTCAAAGATTATATAAGTCATTAACTGAACATTAAGATTATAACAACAAAACGGAACAAACTGGATTTTAAGCAAGCTTTGAACTGCGGAACAACAACAACAAAAAATAATCGCTGTTCTCTGTCGTCACACGTTTAGCAGCACTTGACTGGAAGATCATGATAATCCTCGTCAGCAGCAGCTAACCCAAAACTGAAAAAAAAACCACATCCTAAAATTGTTCTCCCTCTTTTGTGCATCAACAACACAATGGAGCCACATGCAAATCAAAATTCAAACCGGCGCGGGGCAGAAGGCACTTGGATTTACATAAAAACTCAGCGACCTTGCTCTTCGCAGGATAAAGGAGCCAATGAACCCTGAGAGCAAGTCACCGTCGGCCAACGGATTTGCCTGTGTGGTCGGCGGTGGACACCCTTTACATGGAAAAATAACCAGCGGCGGGCGGGCGGGCCGGGGGGGGCTTTTGCATACGATTTGTGTGCGAGCCGCGACGGGATAAAGTCTGTCGGACAGTAGCTTGAGTATGCTGGGCTAGTAAGAATTCAACCAGAGTTGTTGTTTTTTTTCTTGAGAACTAAAAGGGCACACATACATACATACATACAAACACATACTCTTTACATACATTTACAAACAGTGGATGCACTTGTCTGGACTCGGAAAAAAAGGCCTTTTTTTTTTTTTAAAAAGCAGTCAAACCTTTTACAGTACAACAGGCTTGTTAATGGTTTCAACTGAAATGCATGAATCCAACCACGAGACAACTCACAGGTTAAGGTGCCAAAGCCTTAAATCGCTTTTAAAACAAAAAAAAAAACGGGGGCTTGATTGCCAAAAATGCAACCTGCTTCACCAGTGAACATTTGACAAGCGTACGAAGCCGCGCTAGGGGTTGGGGCGAATGATGAGCTACAGTTACGGCTGAGTGCACTGTGAGGATTCGCAGCTGGTTGAGATGAATTTCACTGCTCGAGATCGGAGTTTCGATTTGTCTTCGTCGGATACGACAGAAAATTGCAGTCAGATTAAAGGACCAGCACGTAGCTTGTTAACGATCGAGCTCTGAAGTCACCGGCGGGCGCATTTGGTTGCATTTGGACACACCCAAGGTAGCTGTTTGTTTCCAGTCTGAGCGAAGCTAACCAGCTCTAGCTTCGTATTTAATCATATAACTGAAAATAAATCTACGCAAAATTCCGCGATATGGTGGTGGATGTCCAATTATTGAATTAAATGACCTCTCTCTTTTGCCCGGGTGATGGATTTTCTTATCTGGCTACCATGTAAAATTACAAAAATCACACAAGAACCAGTCGAGGAGGAACGAAACCCCTTCAAAAGTGAGACACCGTTCAGTAAAAACTGACTCAGCATTCAAAGATGGCCACCATTATCATCACTAGCACAAATATGTGAAAAATATTGATATTTAGCCATATTTAAAGTATGTCTTGTCTCAGAAATTAGCATTAGACTCAATACACAACACATTATACATATATATGTATATATACATATATATATATAGTCTCTATTATCTAGGATATAAAGAGATGAGGCGTTAGCTAACCTCCAACATAGTATACAGTCATTGGGGAGCCAGAGTTAAGACCTACATGTGCAGATTTTCACTTAAGCAAGCTTTTCAGTTCGGCTCCCCTTAAAAAGAAAAACAACAACGACAAAAAAAAACACAGTCCATCATACCTGACCATATATAAAAGCGTTTGTGCCAACAAAAAAAAAATAATTCCTGATTGTCAGTCATAAAGTGTGCTAGCTTGATTGGCAGGATTTTTTTTTTTCTTTTTTTAAAAAGAAGAAACAGGGCTCAATGCTGTTGGCGCTCATTCGTTGCTGTTGCTGCTGCTGTCCAGGTCTTTGCACTGCAGGTCCCCTCCGGCGTAGTTGATGCCGGGGATCTTGACGCCGAACCGGTCGACGCACCAGCAGATCCCCCGTTTCCGACCGCGGGACGGCTTACACTGCGAGCAGAGAGGATTATTTTTTGCTTTATTGGACAGTTTCACAGTGCTACGGTTAAAAAGCAGGTTTGTCAGTCGTGGGTAAAGTCATAAAGGGATGCATCCGTACCTGTTTGCGCTTGAAGAAGCCCTTCTTGTCACAGTTGGGGATGTACAGGGAAAGAGCCAAGACCCGAGAAGTGTCCTTCATGCTCTGAATGAGATTATCTAGTCTTCTCCTGCAGGGCCCCTGCACACACAAGCACAGCACGATCAACTGTACCATTGTTCAAAAACGTTCTTGGAAAGTCCATAAACCATCAAATGAATAAGGATTTTATAAATATGGCATGTCACTGCGCTCCCACCATGTTGTCACGTGCAGCCCTGTGGGGCAACTTGTCTGATTTGTCAGAACTTGCTGTTCTTCCCCCACCACTAATAGAACCTGAAGCATCATTCACACCAACTACGTTCCACGAAACCGAACAAAAATGATCCCCAGAGCTGAGTCAGCTTTTTTTTTGCAATCTCTACCCCACTTACAAATTCAGGCTCCAGTTTATCGAGGCTGAGCGGTGAGAAATCCAGGTTGCTGGCGGGTCCCAGCCTGGCCAGCTGCTTTTTGCGGTCCTTGGCCTGCTTCATGGCGTAGGCCTTCCAGCTGCTGATGTGTTCCCCGTTTAAGGGCACCTTGGTTTGCGCCGGTTCCGCCACGCGTAGCAGGGCGTCATCTCGAGATTGTCCTTCTGTTTGGGAGGCAAAAGAAAGAGGGGGTCGCCCATCAGTTTTGTCTTTGTCGGAGCTCGATTCACACAGGATGAGTATTATCTGCCTTACGTGCAGGATGGTTGGCAATTTGTACCGGAACTTTACAAATTACAGACACACGCAGGATTAAAATAACCAGGGATGCCAATTATTACAAACAACTTAACGTCCACGGGTGTAATATTAGTCCTGTGCGAACAGGGCTTCAAAGCATTTTTCTGCTGCTTTCATGAGACTGTTTGAAGAAGGGTCAAAATCAAGATGACGGCTCCCACCTGGAAACGCATCTATTTGAGCGGGCTAAAATTAAAAAGCAAAGCTCCAACCCACGAGGGCACGGCGGCAGGAGTGTCGGATTTGGAAACGTCACAACACAACGTGATGATTTCACTGCGCCGGCTAGATGCTTATTTAGCACATTTAGTGGCTGCTCGCCAGGTTCAGATTGGATGTGTTGACATACGGGACAACATAGCCTACATTTATGGCAAGTTAGGTTGCCAGTTTGGGGTATATGTAGACCAGGGGTTTTAAAACTTTTATAGTAAGTGACCTAAATGAGATATTTAGTCTCACCCTGGCACCCAGGCCCATGAAAACATGCTATTACCCTTGTCATGTGGCAAGCCACCAGAAACAGCCGCAACCCAATTTGGGTCCCAACCCCCACAGAAACCCTCATGTACGTTTATCTTTCATCTGTGCAAAAATACAGCTCTTTGCTAAGTTTCGAGGGGGGGGGGGAGTCGCACACAGTCGCACTAACCTCAGCGCTCGCCCCTCTCCCTTGTCCCCACCCGCTATTCATGCGACCGCATCGGCTGCGTCGAAGGCCAGAATGAGTGGCTGCGGGTTTCTTTCCCAAAAGCACTTTAAACTGATATCTCATTTAATTTATAGCCTTAAACATGCATTGGCCTTGTATGTGTCCTAAGCCACAGCTGGCCCATATCCACTGCTGTATCACGCACTTGTTTCTCTTTCATTTTGGCAGATTGCAAATTCTGCATATAACCACCGCCACCCCCCCCGCTCTTCGCTTGTGCGCTGACGTGATCGCTAAGCTACTAAGCTAACTGCGTGGTGAAACAAGGTCACCGCCTTGTCGCAAATGACGCTTAAAACCCTCCTGAGCCCCCTCCAACCCCCAGCGATGATGATGATGATGTCACCCATCCCTTCCCTTAATGACGGGAAAAAAAAAAAAGAAGAAAAACCAGAGATTCCCCTCCGGTTTCCTGCTGACACCATTTTTTTTTCCCTTTCCTCCGCAGAAAGCTGAGGCAGATCAGCAGCCAGTGTAAGTCCAATCAAGTCTTCACTTGCTAATCCTCGAGCTCGTCTAATCTGACCTGTGCTGACTGATCACATCTTTTCTTTTTTTTTCTTTTCCTCTTGTTAGTGATCCTGGAGAGACAACTCCCTGCAGGAATTAGAACTCACTCAGAAGTATTTGCTTCATTTTCAAAACGAGAACACGTGCTCTGGCAACTAAATATTACGTCACTGTTTTCTGACCTTTGACATGTGACTAACACATCGGGATGTCTTTAAATGGCACAACTCCGGTTCTTCTCAAGTGTCTATAAAATGTATTTATCAGCGTGCATATGTTTTTTTTTTTTGCTGAATTCATGCGTTGACAGAACGCCCAGCAGGAGACGGGGAGTTAATGGAGAAGCTGGCTGATGGGGCAGACAGACGGGGGGGGCGGAGGGGATCAGTAACCCACGCTCAGCCTGCATTCTGCTGAATCACTGCACAGCCTGGGCCTGCCGCTGAGATGGAGGGGAAGGGGAGGGGAGACAGATGAAGAGGCTAGGGTGGGACTAACAAAGAGTGGTGAGAGGGAGAAGGGGATAGTGTGGGAAAGATGAATAGGAGACTTTTTTTTTTGGTCACAATTTCTCAGATGCATGGACGGGAATCAAAAATGGGTTTCGAGCGACAGGGATCGACTTTAATTTGAATATTGAAATGAACGCTAAAACTCCAATCTGCAGGGAAATGAAGCAGACAAGAGCGGAAAGGGTGAATCTGGGGAGGGGTGACGAAGAAGAATAGGGTGGAAAAGATGAAGAGGGACAGTAGCCAGGTAGGGAAAGAAGAGAAGAGGCTGTGTGGTGGGGAGAGAATAGAGAGACAAAAAGGTGGGTCAGGTGTGGGGAGAGGAAAAAAAACTAAAAAAAAAAAAAGGCACAGGTGGTAGATGAAGAAAAAGTAGAGGTGTGCTGGAGGGGGAGTGGTGGGGGGGAGGCGACAAAAGAACAAAAAAGAGGAGAAACCGTAGAGGAAAGGGAACGGGGTGAAGCACGACTTTACACCTTGAAGACAGTTAGCGAGAGTGGACCGGAGCCAACATTTCCCACAAAGCCGTCCTCAGTGCTCCCCCAGCAGACACAGTGGCTCTGTCCCTGAACTGTTCATTCAAAAGGAGCCACCACCTGTAATCTTCTCCCTGGTTTTTTTATGTCGGCCCCCCCTGAGGCGACGGGCCGCTCACACGAAAGCACGCTGATTTACGGTTTCGCAAAGACCCAAAAATCTGAGATGACAGGTTGATCGGCGATTGTCGACGAGAGTTCACGGGGTCAAGGCGTGAGGAAGGCCTTGGAAGTCGTGTGCCTTGATAATGACAGGTGTCAGCTCCTATTAAAGAGTGTGTGTGTGTTGACCCACATCAGCCTCGCTGGCTCCCAAGGAGACAGGGAGGAGGGCTGGAACTCTTTTTTCCTAAATCCTGCAGAATAAGTGCATTCATTGCAGGCATGTGAGAGTTTCTCGATCACCTTTTGCACCTCTTCATTAAAGCACAATTACTGCACACAATCAGCATTATATAAGCCCTGATATGATTGCTTAACCAACACACCAGATTGTGGGATATCATGAGAAGGGCTCCTCTATAATAAAAAATGACTCCATTCATTCAGTTAATTAATGCTCCAATTTAAGCCGTTTAATTACACTGCTCTGGATCTCTCCACAGGCCTACCTTTTGACGGATGCAGCAGTTTGTACAACTTCTCGTTCTTGCACACCCCCCGGCCGTGCAGGAGCGCGTGCAGCGGCTTCTCCTCGCCGTTCTTGGGCAGGCAGCGGAGCCCGCGCGTGCACGGCCCGGTGTACACGCCGCACGGTTGGCCCTCTTCGAGCGCGCACGTCAGGCAGCAGCCGCAGCCGGGCTCCTTCACCAGCTGACAGCCCACCGGCACCGGCGGACACATGGACAGGGCCTTCTGGTCGCACGGCTCGCACGGCACGTACGACGAGCCGCAGCCGGTTATGCTCAGCAGCGGAACCACCAGGAAGGAAACTCTCAGCAGCATGGCGCGCTTCTCCTCTTCTCAAACTGCTCTCTGAATGAAACGATTATCAACTCAATCTGACGGCGAATCCTTTCTTTGTACGAGGTTGGAGTCCGAACATCAGGGGGGTGTTTGTTGCATCCACAGGTGCTTTGCGCGCTCGAGTCCAAATGTCATCCGATGCTCGCAAATCCACAAAGGCAGTCTTCCCCCCCTTTTTGAGCTCTCTTTCCCCCCCTCCTCAGAGTCAGCAATAATTCAGAAAAAGAAATAAAATTATCCAGACAAGCACGTCTCTCAGCCCTTCAGTGATGCCCGGTGCCGTTTTTACGCGCAGAGCCGTTCGTCTCCAAATGAGAAAATGAAGAGCGCGCTGATTCCTCCTGTCGCTCTCTCTGTAGGTTATTTTACCCGCACGGATTGTGAGCAGAATGTATAATCTGTGGCTTTGAGCTTGCCTTTTAAAAAAGAAACTGCCAGAGGCGAAGCCTATAACGATGGGTATGTCAAACAACGTTTGGAGGGGGAGGCGCACTTGTCAACTCCGTGCGCTGCGATGCTGATTTCACAGGGCGGGTGCTGGCATGCCTCCAGATCTGCCAGATACAGACGATGCTCCTGAAGGCGACTGTGGAAGACCTTATCTCTCTCGCTGACGGAATGGCCATTTAATAATAATAATATCAGCATTATGAAAACAAAATTAGTTGTATTTTTGTTTATTACAAGATCACATTGTTCTGGAAACTAGACCTTAAATGCTGACTGACAGTGAACTTATAAGCCAAGAAAAAGAAAACAGTTTAGAGTGAAGAGTCACATAGAAGCAAAGCAGAAACATGTCAGGATATGGATTTATGGTAAATTGCTCATACATTTATTAGGCTTTTGTGGAGGAAATTTCAGGGGAACAGCTACAAATGTCAAAATATTTTTGGTGAGTGTGTTGCTGGTCTCTTTATGTGATTTTTTCCTTTCAAACGTGACTTAAATATGTGATTTTTGCATGTCACAGAAGCCCTAAAGCCAAGTCTTCCTGCTCCTTCTCATTTCCTTACAGGCTTGACGCACACACACTGATGAGGGTTTTGTTCTTAAACCCTGCGTCAATGTTTGTTGTTCGCCACAAGACATAAGCAAACTTCGCTGCACACAACAACTTAAATTCCTACTTTGATTACCAAACCTCAGAAATACAGAGTTCACGTTCGGGGGCTGGTTTTGATCTCCGCACACAAACTCCCAGATCCCGATCTTCACCGAAATCTAATTACTTGATCAACGTAATTTCAGAAAATGCAATTAGAGGATTCAGATGTTGACATGGTTTCCCCCCAAGGAGCTGCCATTTAGATGCATTGCAGTAGCCTACATACACCCAGAGACCCTAATACGTGTTGTCAGAAAGTATTTGGTCAAATCGGACTTGTAATGGCACCGAATGCGCTCAAGGGCGGGTTCCTGCATGCAAGAAACAAGAAAGCTTAATAATTCCCCTCGGATGCCATTTGGTCTCTTTCGCCAAAGTGCTGTAGCTTTAAATATTTGCAGGATGCTGTCTTAACCATAACAAATGAATTTTCCAAAGATGTGCACAAAGCCTCGCTGTCGAAAAAAAAGGGTCCAGATCAAGGCGAACTGCACTCGCGGTGACCTTCTTTTATGACTCAGCGAGGTCAGCGAGATAAGTGGTCAGCTCTCATGCAGTGCAGAGCGCTCGTAACTCACTCGATGTTTTGGCAGATAGCGACATATATCTGGAGATTTTACGTGATGAGCATGTTTGTGTTGTTAGTAAACAGAGTTTCTGCAGAGACCGAGTTGAAAATAATTTAATGCTCTTGACCCTGGTCATGCTCATCCTGTTTCTTGCCGTTGTTATTGCTGCGCAGAATTTCTTGATTATTTAGTTTTTATTTGCCTCCTTGTTTACATCCTGTTCCTCCCCTTCTCCGTCGCGCAGTTTAAATGAAGTTTAAGTGTCCCATATGTGCGCGAATCCAATTACAGATGTTTGTCACGTCATTCGAAACTGACCTTTTCAAGCCCACACTGATTAAAGTTGTATTCCTTCGCACTGTCAAGTTTCACTTCCTCTTCCTCCCCTGCCCCCGCTTTTGCGAAACTTTGTTCTGCTCCCAATCGCCCGACCCCTGTTTGCCTTCGCCCTTGACCTTTTGCGCCGTATCGGGTGTCGGATGACATCACGCGTGACAACCCTTTCATTTCCCTCGCCTACCTGTCCGCGGTGGAAGAAAGAGCGCCTTTCACATTGAAAACTGGGAGACACATCTGTGCTTCACAGGCTCCAAAAAAAAAAAAACCTCCCTCTCAAAGATCACCCTGAAACTCTCCTCCACATTTATGATTCATAAACTGATGATTTACGACCCAGAGGCATATTGGCAATGCAAATGTGTCTACACTTGTTTTGTTTTCTCCAGATGTGAGACGAGGAGGATTTGTGGTCCAAGGGCTGCTCGGCTTCGTAAACCCCGCTGCTCCGTTTGTTAAGGTTAGGCCTTCCTATACAGTTTGAGTCGATTGGTGTATGTGGGCCATATGACGCACAGATGGCGGCTGCTCTGGATGGAGGTGCAAGGCTCGGATTTCTCTTGCAGTTGAGCTCAGGACTAAATATGCGCTGAGGTTTTAATGCCCGGTCAAAGCTGCTTTGGCGACACGCTGGCTTGTCGGCAAAATCCATGCTCACAGTTTGGTATCTTCAGCTGATGTTTTCATCCGGTCCACCGCTATTAATCCAGAATTTCAGTCTAGGAGCTCATCCATAAACAACAATATTCCCAAATGGCTCTTCCAGTTTTAGTTTGTACCATGAGTGATGCGTTCATGGGCCAACCTGAGCACTATGGTTCACCCAACGGACTCCCAAAGCTTTCTGGGTGGTGAAACTTCAAATTTACTTCAAGTATGTACCACACCGACCTCTACAAAGCCCACACTGCTTCAATCATACAACTGTCACAATAATGCAGCTTAAACTTTATCTGTTCAGCAAAATCTGTGTGGGTCAGAAAAGCATGCTCGCTTGCTAATCCTACCAAATGAAGTCAGGCCTCCTGGTGTTACAGGCGTCTGACATACAATATCTATATATAGCATTGAGACGTACGCTTTAAAGGCACCGCACACTCACGCGGAGAACCCACACAGGTGTTTCCACTTATTTTGGCTCATTAGAGCTCTTCTAAGTACTGTGTGGGCATGTACAGACTGTGCTTGCTCGACACCTCCCTGTTAGCCTTGATGCACCTGTTGGGATGGGTCAAAACGCACGTGGAGTTGAGTTAGTTACTTCGCATCTGAACGGGGGGTCTACTTAACCTTTGTAGACAAATCCCCAATTGAAACCGAAACTCAAGTGTTAATGGCTCCTTGAGGATATAAGCATCTGGAACTCCCAACTAGTCAGTCAGAACCGATGAAGCCTCTTGGATGAGAGGTGGAACGTCTTCAAGGAACTCAAGCAAGTCCAGTAGTTATGATTAAACTACGAGAGTAACCATGACCTGGACGACTCTTCACAGACACTTTGCGAGACTTAATTCAGTTTTGTTGTCTTTTTTGTTGCCTTTTTATTTAATTGATGGACCGTGGAAGCCAGCAATTTTGTGTTGCTGATGTTGTGGTGTTCTCCGGCTTCCTCTCCCACACAGTCCAAAAACACGTTGAGGTTAATCGGTGATTCTAAATTGTCCGTAGGTGTGAATGTGCTTGGTTGTCTGTCTCTAAGTGTAGCCCTGTGATAGACTGGTGACCGGTCCTGAGTCAGCTGAGATAGACTCCAGCCCCCCATGACCCTAGTGAGGATTAAGCGGTATATAGATAATGGATGGATGGATGTCTGTAGTTACAAAAGGGCTACTTCCTGTAAAGAATTGAGATATAAAAGTCACATGATATCTGAAGTGCCTGCATAAATCTGACCTGCACCCACTTTAGGACCGCATATAAAAGTCCCTCAAATCAGAATTGAGATGTTCAGATTGATTTGTGCTGTTCACATGGCGATGAAAAAACAAATCCAAGTGACATACGAGCAAAACAATAATACGATTTCCATCACTTTTGCATCTACTAAACTGAAAGCCCCGCACAGATTGATTAAATGTGTTCCTTTCTCGGGTCTGAATCCAACAATTCTGCACTAAAAACGTCACATGATGGATTCACGAGCGAGGTCAAGTTTAAATTACTGCTCAAAATGTGACTGAGAAAACTCTTAAACAAACACAAAACTGGTGTATTTTATATCATTCGGTCCATAGTGTGCGGGGAAGTCTTGCCAAAGTAAAGTTGGACACTTTCACACGATTGTGTCATATTTACTATACATTTGCGTTGCGGTCGCCATACATCACAGCTATAAATGCATCAATCAAAACGGGCCACTAAAAGAAAAAGCCAGCGGTAAGTCTAACCAAGCATCAGGGATTATATGATATGATTGAAAGCTCAAGAACAGCCACTAAATGGGCCTTGAATGAATTTTGAGGATCAGGTTTAAAGCCAACATGGACAAGAGGTCTTTAAAGTTCTCATAAAAATGGAATCCCAAACATGTACAACTCCAAAGACAGCTGAGCAAACTCCAATCGCTGATGGAGATCGTGTGATGTGATTGGTAACTCCGGAGCAGCTCATAAATGTAGCTTGTGGCGAGAGTGTTTACTGAACTGAATGTTCAAAGGTCAAAAATGAACTCCTAATAAAGTCCACGGTTTGTTTGTTTTTGTCAGTGATGTATCCAAAGGTCATTACAGAAAAATGAAAGTGGGATGGACAAGTTGGAGAGCTGCCATTTTTACTGGTATTTAGATTTTGTTTGTGGGTTTTAGGACAACCTCTGCTCGAATAGCTTGGAAATGGAACTTTAACATTAGCTCCGGTCCGTGTGAGGCTGGATGGTGTCATTCGGCGATGTCGTACAAGTCCTCCCGTGTCCCAAACTCCGGCCCTGACCTTCGACCTCCCGCGTAGGAAACTAATACTTTGATTTTTTTGTATATAGAATTGAAGCAACATGTCATAAACCGAGGAGGTTGAATCGCAGCCAGGAACAGAAAGGTACTGTTGTGTGAATTAAAACACACATCCCCCAGCCAAATGATGTCATGCTGCTCATGCTTGGACACTCCCCACCCTGCAGTGCTGGTTTGCATCCAACTCCTATAGCAGCAGCAGCAGCAACGACGGAGAGAGAGAGAAAGAAAAAA